AGAGAATTCCTAGTCTTTAGGAATTTATGTAAGATTCAAGGAATTTAGCACAGATGTTAAGGATTTTGTTCTACAAGATAAATTCTAAGTAATTTTGGAAAATCTTAAGTCTTAGAAATCTCAGAAAATAAATTACAATTCCTAGTTTAACTTAGAAATTGATGAGTTGTTTAAAAATTATTAGAAATGCCTAGTTCTCAGTAACTGGTATTTCCTAGGCCATACTAGAATAGCCAAGACTGGTTTTAACATTCTGGAATTTTCTAGGATAATAACTGGGAAATACTGGGACTTTTTAAATACCAGTATATATTTCTGCAAGGGTAGCTAAAGAATTGTGTGCTCTTAAATATACAAAACATTGTTATAGAGGATTATTTTACCCTTTTCATGCATTAACATCTACAGAAGCGCGATGACCCATTTAAAGCCCTCATCCTATTAACACAGGATTTAACTTCTACAGATCTATGTGGATGCACAAAAACATGTATTAGAGTCATTCTTGCATAAATGGATGTGACTGTTTCGGTGATACTACGATATGTTGTTTTCCGCAGAAAGAAACTCGCTTATATGTTATGTTTTGATAATAAGGTAACATGGGGCCATCGTTAAAATTAGCGGTTAGCATGGTGTAAAAATCATGCACATAAACAAGAGCTATCAGTAGGACATCATTGAGTGTTCGACAGTTCTCAATGCTTGATAGCTAAAAACAAGAACCTAGATAATGAAGAATTCTCTACATTCAAAAGGGCCATAATTCTGTCAAAATCCATTATAGAGTTATTGGCCTTTGTGACCTTATATTATGCTCATAAATAAGTGTATGTGGTTTATACCTATTCTATTATGTAATTTTTACAAAACCAATTTGCATGCAAAACCTTAGCCAAACTGGAAAACTGACGTCTTCTGTGTACAATATCACTCCCTATTCTTCGAAATATCAAGCAAAATAATGTGCTCTCATGGTTAAATTCATAAATGCAAGTTTTTTTCTCTGTGAATGTACACCTATGTGTGCAGTTTTTGTGCAGGATGACCAGTTTATTAGTGTGTTATGTGTATGAACAGTGTTGATCATATAAATTATCCATATCATAGAAAGTTGTTCAAAAATCATTATTTAATGGCGGCCATCTTGGATTTGGAAGCCATATTGAATCTTATACTAAATGCTACTAAAGCTTTTTTCCAAGAAATTACTATTTTGACCTACAATGTCATTTATATCATTTTCATGCCATAAATAATTTCATTTTCTCATGTACATTGTACAGTTTGGCGGCCATCTAGGATTTTGGCGGCCATCTTGGATTTTAAAAATGTGGATCCCAGGCTGAAATGAATTGAAATATCATTTCCTGTTACCATGCCAAGTTTCATGCTTTTCACAGAAGGTGCACAATTATTTCACTAATTTCTTGGACTATAGTTTACAAAAACAAAAATACTGTTTTAATTGTTTGAAAAAAGAATGATACCCTTTTTTTAAAAAAAATTTTTTTGTTTGTGTATAATTTTCCCTTTAAAAACAAATGGGACATGCATTTATTTTAAACCCCTAAAAAAAAATTTAAAAGTTCAGTTTTAATTTTAATCCTTTTTTAAAATTTTTTTTTTACATTTCTTTTTTTCCCAATGTGTTTTTAAATAACTAGAAAATTTTTTTTGGGACAAATTTTTTGAAACATTTTTTTAAAGCAAAAATAAATTTCTTTCAATGGAAATTTTTTCAAAAAAATTTTATTTTGATATAGCCTTTTTTTAATTCCCGTTTTAAGGTGAAATTGACTCTTTACATGAAGTTGGAAAAAATTCGTTTCACTTTTGAATGAGGTCCTTTGTTATTTATCAACATTTTTCAATTCAGTTAATGTAGGCTATAGCTTTTCTACTTTGTGTATACTCAAATTGTTTTAATGCGTTAAATTGCTCCCATCTTTCTTAGGATGTGTTTGGATTTTTATTTACAAATTAAACTTCCATGTGTTACACAAAATGTATATTAACTGCCATGGATTTTTTGACCTCATTAACTCCAGCAAGATTTGGGTTGAATGCTCTATTTTGCCACAATTTATGTTTTGATTAACAAAGAGTTTTATAATTAGATCGTTGCCATTACACTTCCTCTCTTATTTTCTTTTAAATCCAAATAAATTAAAGTGAATGAAAAATGCAAACATAAAACAGAGATTTCGGATATTTCATTCCAAAAAAATTTCATTTGGAAATTTTTTTTCTGGGCCTTTTGATTAAACTGTTCTTCTTTTAACAAATCTAATATATCGCTTGGCCACCAACCCTTGAATTACCGGTTTTAATTAAGAAGTGAAATATTCAAAATCCTTTTTATAATACTTAAACTCCTTATCAGATTCCTCTGCAATCATTGGTCAGGCCCAGATTGGAATTACTCCCTATCTTCTTTTTTCCAATTTTCCATCTTTAATCCTTTAGTTAAATTATTTTTCATGTTAGAAACATTGCTAAATGTCATTCTTTTAGGTTTTTGCAGTACCAAGAACTTAGAATGTGTTTTATTATAATTTATATGTTAAAATTTTTCCAGGCTCCTCATTGTTTTCTACCCACTGGTCTCAATCTCAGAAAATAGATCCCAGGCTGTAAAGTTTATGAATTTTCCTGTACCAACATCCTCAGTGAGGATGTATCCCTCGCATGTCTGAGCTAGGTCTGTGTCAGCCTCAGCATGAAGAAGTACTATGTCTCGCCGCCCTTCCCTTGTTAAGCTTGATTCTAAATATTTAAGAATTGAAAGTTTAAGAAAATATAAAAAATTCAACTTTACTATCATAGATAAAAAAGAAAGCTGAACATAGTTCTTTTAGACCTGGAAATGAACTATAATTTTAGCATTGTCCTAAAAATGAGAATGACAATAAAAAGGCCTTACAGTCTCTAAAAAAGACAGTGTGGATAGTGATGAGGAGACTTTAAATGAGACAATGTGCAAAACCTTAAACTGGCCTTTTAAAGTCCTGAATGCAGACTTCCTTTTGTCGTTAAATTTTTACATTAAACAGAATGAATCGCATACCTTAATCTAGTTATTGTGAAGTGCATACCTTAATCTAGTTATTGACTACTTTGATATGTGCATTCTATGCATCTTTAGCAGGTGATGTTGTTTTTAGCTCTGGTGTTGTTAAAAGTTTGTAACACCCAATGTTAGCCAAAATCAATTTTACTGTTTCAGCTCCTTATAACCTAAATTGTGAAACGAAAAAAAAAAAACAACAAGAAAAATCCAATGAACCTGTAAGCATTACTTAGTTTGCCAATCTACGTAATCTACCAAATTGGTGAATATTGTTGCTGTTTTGGATAGAAGCTCTGTCTGACCATCATTCGATGACATTGTGGATTGGTTCAGGGAAGTCTCTGTTGAGGACATTGGTTAGATAAATGTTGAAGAATTTCTGTGAAGAGGTTGTAGGAAACATTTGAAGGTGAAAAACAGTCAACTTCTGGAGGTGACAGGTTTGTCTGTGAGTTGATTCTGCCTCTGGTCTACTGTCTTCCCAATGAGCCAAGGTCATTCAAATGACGGGTGGTGTTCTCTACTACTTGTTGGCATCTGTAAAAATGCAAGAAATATCTAAAAGTGGTTTAAGTTCAGGCTTAAATTGGAAAAGTGTTTTGCATATTTAAGTGAATATGTCATACCAAAGAGTGATTAAAAACTATTTTTCTTTTAAAAAAATTCCCTTTATTTTTAATTAATACAAAATTCAATATTTAAGACTTTAAAGCTTTTCCTTCTTTGGGCATTTTCCAAAAATTAAATTGGGTTTAATATTTTTAAAAAAGTCATGGTTTTTATAGAAAAATTTTTTTATAGGTAAATTTTAATTTTACCTAGGGTTTATCATTCAATAAAGGAAGTAAACAAATGGCTCTAAAATATTGTGTCAATCAAATTTTTACAGAAAAACTATTGCCAGGATTTGAATGAAAATCGTCTGTAAGCCCAACACTGAGCTAAATAATTAGATTACAAGATTTAGTTTATACAGAATTTACTTCAGTTTCATTGTGTAGGAATCTATAAGCTTACAGACACACTTTCGAATCCATTTCTGGAAGTAGCCAGTACTAAGCAATGAGTGTAAAGTTTTTAGGAAACTATGGCTTGCCCTTAAGGCGGTTCAAACCCACACCGGCAGCAATCCTTAAGTTCCTAGTCTAATGTGTAAACTAAACCACTTAGTCACATCACCATGATAGAATAAAGGTTAATCATTGACATTTTGATTTCAATTGTTTTGAAATGTAACAAGCTACATTTCTTACCTGTTTTTTGTTTTATTTGGAATTTTGGAAAATTTTTTATCTCTCAACCCCCTTTTTCCTTTTTGTTTTTTGTAAATTGGGGTAAATTAAAGGGGTTTAAAGATGATTGGGTTGGGAATTTTAAAAAAATTTTTTAGGGGTTACATTTTGTGATGATAATGAAAGAAGATTTGGGGTTTATACTGATGGTATTTTGGTATGTGGGTTTTTTTGGTGATAAATCCCCTTGGGAATGATGCTTTTGGGTACTTTCAATTTTGTTTTGATGAAATTTCTTTTTTGAATGAGCCCAAAATTTGCTTATTTTTAAAAGTGCAATGGAGATTTTTAAATTTTTGGCTCTTTTTTGTGATTTGAATCTTTTGGGAAATTGGGTTTTTTGCCCCCTCTTGTGAAACGCTTCAAAGAGCCCGTTGGGTTTTAATCTCTTTTTATTTTTAAACTCTTTTTTTCTTCATTTGAGGGCAGTGTTTCTCCATGGAATGGCTCAATTTATTTTTTTACAGTTTTCATGCCATGTTTTCTTTGTAGACTTTTAAAATATATTTAAGGTTGGTTGAAGATGAGTGTAAAAGGACATTGGTTTTCCTTGTATGGGCATTGGATTGTTCATTCATACATAGTTTGTCTCTCTTGGAGGCTTATCCCTTGTTGGCTTGAACTGTTGTTTCTGTTTAATGGGAACGACAGAAATGTTTAGTTTTGATCATTTTGATTATCTTGTTATATAATTTTGAAGTGTTTGGGTAGCTTGTATAAGTTCTCCGATGTTGTTGTTGAGGTGACTCAATACTGGTTGGGTTTGTTGATAATAAAAGAACAGCTGAAATTTCGATATACAGTTGGTGGTGTTTGGTAACACAGACAGCGCTGATTTTTGATATAGTTGTTGGTTGTGGTAACACAAGTGATTTGATTTTTGATATAGTTGATTGGTGTTGGTAAAAAACGTTGATCTTTGAATTCAATATAGTTGTTGGTGTGGTAACACAGTGATCTGATTTTGATGTAGTTATCGTTGTGGTAACACCGTCATCTGGATTCGATATTGTTGCTGGTGTGGTAACACCGTCATCTGGGTTCGTTGTAGTTGTCGGTGTGGTAACACCGTCATCTGGGTTCGATGTTGTTGCCGGTGTGGTAACACCGTCATCTGGGTTGAATGTTGTTGCCGGTGTGGTAACACAGTTCATCTGGGTTCGATGTTGTTGCCCGGTTTGTGGTAACACCGTCATCTGGGTTTGATGTTGTTGCCGGTGTGGTAACGACCGTCATCTGGGTTCGATGTTGTTGTAGGTGTGGTAACACCGTCATCTGGGTTCGATGTAGTTATCGGTGTGGTAAACACCGTCATCTGGGTTCGATGTTGTTGTAGGTTTTTGGTAACACCGTCATCGCTGGGTTCGATGTTTGTTGTCGTTGTGTGGTAAACGAGTCATCTGGGTTTCGATGTTGTTGTCGGTGTGGTAACACCGTATCTGGGTTCGATGTTGTCTTTGCCGTGTGGTAACAACCGTCATCTGGGTTCGATGTTTGTTATCGGTGTGGTAACACGTCATCTTCGGGTTCGAATGTTGTTGTAGGTGTGGTAAACACCGTCATCCTGGGTTCGATGTAGTTTGTAGGTGTGGGTAACACCCGTCATCTGGGTTCGATGTAGTTATCGGGTGTGGTAACACCGTTCAAATCTGGATTCGCATGTTGTTGTAGCTTTTTTGGTAACAACCGTCATCTGGGTTCGATGTTGTTGTTAAAGGTGTGGTTAACCGTCATCTGGGTTCGATGTCGTTATCGTTGTTGTATACAACCGTCATCTGGGTTCGATGTTGTTGATGGTGTGGTAACACCGTCCAATCTTGGGGTTCGATGTTGTTATCGCTGTTTGGTTAACCACCGTCATCTGGGTTCGATTGTTGTTTGTTAGGTGTGGTAACAAACCGTCATCTGGGTTCAAAAATTTTAGTTGCCGGTGTGGGTCTAACACCGTTCATCTTGGTTCGATGTTTTGTTTCCTCAAGTGTTTTTTTGGTAACAACGTCATCTGGGTTTCGATTTTGTTATCCCGGTTTTTTTTGTGGTAACCACCGTCCATCTTTTGGGTTCGATGGGTTGTTGTAGGTGTGGTTAACACCGTCATCTTGGGTTCGATGTAGTTAATTCGGTTGTGGTAACACCGTTCATTCTGATTTTGATATGATTGTTTCAGTTGTGGTAACACTAACACTTGATTTCCATTGTTAGAAGTTGTTTTTTTTCTTGTTTAACACTGTCAAGCTTTAACCAGTTGTTGCTGATGAGATCGAAATTGTTTGTTCAGTCAATCTTATTAGCATCCAATACTATCTAGAGAATCAGAAATGTTGGTCGATGCTTTGATCTGTTTGGTCTGCAATTTCTCTCATTTTCAAGAATGGACCATTGGCTACCCTTATTGATTTAGGACTTGAATTCTCACAAAAAGACTGGGAATGCAGTAATGTTGCATTTTCTTTGGAATGTTTTGGCAATTCTGTAGTTGATTTAGACTTTCTAAGAACAGCATTCTTATTCTTCCCTCTTTTTGTTATTAGTGAATTGTTTGTAAGGGTAGTATTACCAGTGTTACTTAAACCAGTCTGCCTGAAGTTTTGAACATTGCTTCTTGATATATCATTTTCTGTATTGTTTCTCTCAATGTCTTTTATTTGTTTAGGATCAATAGGAAGCTGTTGCTTATTTATCTCTTTTGATGCTTTGACATTCTCCTCTTTGTCCAGTGTTGCTTCATTTTCTGCCATTTTGTTTTCTGACTGGAAAAAAATGATTATGTTTTATTAGATAAAATAAATCATAATCAATTGTATTATCATTTATTATATGTGATTTTATTGCATTAATGGAAAAAGGGTGAATGGGAATACCTTTTATCTTAGTTATCCCTTTTTGAATTTTCATTTCATGACCTGAAGGTTTCTAATTTACCTGATAATGATTTTTGTGTCCCCACTATAGGGGGGGGCATTTAGATTTACCCTTGTCAGTCTGTCCGTCCGTTCCCTTTTTTTGTCGCACGTAGCTCAAAAAGTTATTGACCTAGAGTCATGAAACCTTACAGAAATATTGATCAGCATGTGAAGTTGTGCACCTGGGTATTTTCATGTGGATATATTTATTAGTATTTTTATTGTTATTGCTCTTGACTTATTAAAATTTGCAATTTTTAACTTGTGTTGCAGGTAACTCAAAAAAGATTTGACCTAGAGTCATGAAACCTTACTGGAATGTTGATAAGCATGACTGTGTAGTTGTGCACCTGGGTATTTTTGTATGGATATATTTAGTACTTTTAGAGTTATTGCCCTTAAATTAGTAAAAATTTCCAATTTTCAACTTGTGTCGCACGTAACTAAAAAAGTATTAGACCTAGAGTCATGAAACCTTACAAGAATGTTGGTCAGCATGTGTAGTTGTGCACCTTGATATTTTGTGCGGATTTTTTAAGTATTTTTAGAGTTATTTTCCTTGACTTAGTAAAAATTTCCAATTTTCAACTTGTGTCGCACGTAACTCAAGAAATAGTTGACCTAGAGTCATGAAACCTTACAGGAATGTTGATCAGCATTTGTAGTTGTTCACCTTGGTATTTTTGTGTGGATATTTTTAGCTCACTTGTCACAAAGTGACAGGGTGAGCTTTTGTGATCGCTTTTCGTCCGGCGTCCGTCGGGTGTCCGTCGTCCGTTGTCCATAAACTTTTACTTTAAATGACATCTCCTCATAAACCACTAAGCCAATTTCATCCAAACTTCGCAGGAATGTTCCTTTGGTGGTCAACTTCTAGTGAGTGTCTACCAAGTTTGTTCAAATAAAAGCCCTGGGGTCAAAATTGGCCCCACGCCCTAGGGGGTCATTGATTTTCCCTATATGCATATAGTAAAAACTTAAAAATTCTTCTTTTAAAGAACCCAAAGAGCTAGAGTTTAGATATTAAGCATGAAACATCTTCTAGTGTCTACAAAGTTTGTTCAAATAAAAGCCCTGGGGTCAAAATTGGCCCCACCCCGGGGTTCATTGATTTTCCTTATATGTGTATAGCAAAAACTTAAAAATCTTCTTCGAAAAATCCGAATAGCTAGAGTTCAGATATTAAGCATGAAGATTGTTCAAATAAAAGCCCTTGGGTCCAAACTGGCCCTGCCTCAGGTGTGTCATTGTTTTTAACTATATGTGTAAAGAAAAAACTTGACCAGCTAGACCTTAGATGTTTAGCATGAAACATCTTCTAATGGGTGTCTACAAAGTTTGTTCCAATAAAAGCCCTGGGGTTAAAACTGGCCCCCCTACGGGGGCCTATATACAGGTGAGCGACTTCAGGGCCATCATTGCCCTCTTGTTTGTTTTTTTAGAGTTATTGCCCTTGACTTATTAAAAATTTACAATATTTAACTTGTGTTGCACGTAACTCAAAAAGTTTATGACCTGTAGGCCTGAAAGTTTACAAGAATGTTGGTCAGCATGTGTACTTATGCACCTCGGGGTTTTTGTGTCGCCTCTACGGAGTAGTGGCGACATATAGGGATCACTTCTCCGTCGTCTGTCTGTCGGTCTGTGTCTGTCTGTCCGTCTGTCCGTCCGCCCGTCATAAAACTTGTCCGGACTACTCCTCATAAACTACTGGTGCAATTTCATCCAAACTTTACAGGAATGATCAGTACCAAGTCTAGTTGTGCATATTGTCAGCATTTTCCGGTTCAATGATTTTTGTCAGAGTTATAATTTTTAATTTTAAAGTTTGTCCGTACTATTTCTCTTATACCACTAATGCAATTTCAATGAAACTTTACAGGATTGATCTGTAGCTCAAGTCCTTGCGCATATTGCAAGGGTTTTCCAGTTGAATGATTTTTGGCCGAGTTATGGCCCTTTGATAAAAAGGTTTCTTTTTCTGTGTGTTGCCAGATACACAAAAGCTTGTCCGGACTACTCCTCATAAACTACAGGTGCAATTTCATCCAAAGTTTACAGGAATGATCAGTACCAAGTCTAGTTGTGCATATTGTCAGCATTTTCCGGTTCAATGATTTTTGTTAGAGTTATGGCCCTTTAATAATTTTTATTTTTAAAGTTTGTCTGGACTACTTCTCTTATACCACTAATGCAATTTCAATGAAACTTAACAGGATTGATCTGTAGCTCAAGTCCTTGCGCATATTGCACGGGTTTTCCGGTTGAATGATTTTTGGCTGAGTAATGGCCCTTTGATAAAAAGGTGTTTTTTTTCTGTGTGTTGCAAGATACGCAAAAGCTTGTCCGGACTACCCTCATAAACTACTGGTGCAATTTTATCCAAACTTTACAGGAATGATCAGTACCAAGTCTAGTTGTGCACTGTCCGTCTGTCTGTCCGTCTGTCACAAAATTTGTCCCAACATGAAATTGGCCATCATGAGGCGACACATGTGATTACTGATCGCTCTTGTCTTGTGGATGTATTCAGTATTTGCCTTTACTTAATAAAAGATTTTTAGTTTTCAACTTGGGCACATGTAGCCAAAAAAAAAAATTTGACCTAGAGTCATAAGATTGACAAATCGGTGGAGTGTGGGGGCACCCGTGTCCTATGGACACATTTCTAGTTATAATTTTTGCAGCTCCTGATAGATAATAAACTGAGCGAACTGTCTTTGGTCTCTTTTTCTGAACTTAAACCAGGGTTTTCTTTATAAACATATAAACACTGAAGTCTGTCCATGTACAGCCTTCAAAAATCACAAGTGCATGCCGTCAGACATACTTAGAGGTCATGGGTCAAAGATCAAGGTCATATATGACTGAGGGATTGTCTGCACAGATAAGACAAAAAACAAGTGTTGAAATCTGTGCAAAGTTATGACAATTTTAAGCAAATTTCAATAATTTGACTTTTAAAGTAAAGGTCAATTGGAGGTCAAAGTCATATGAGAATAATTCAACATGTTGGTTTTATGTTCTTTTATCATAGTATAAATCAAATTTGTACATAAATAACATAGTTATGACAATTTAAGCAAATTTGAATAGTTTGACCTTGATTGTCAAGGTCAATTAAAGGCTAATGTGATATCATGTGATTTGTCATTTGTGTTCTTTTGTCCAAGTATAAATCATGTCTGTAAATAAATAACAAAGTTGCACTAATTTCAATAATTTGACATTGATGGTCATAGTCATTGAAAGGTAAAGGTCATTATTGAATAACTTAACATGTTAGAATGATG